TTCCGGAGGCGGTTGAAACAGCGCGGGCAGAGGCGGCGGCCGAGGCGTCGAAAGCGGTGGCGGCGGCCGAGGCGCGGGCGGTGGCGGCGGTGGAGGAGGCGGTCGAGTCGGCACGGGCAGACTCGGCGGCAGAGGCGCACGCAAATGCGCGCACACACACCACACCACAAAGTCACACATACGCACACACACACGCGCGCGCGTGATTCACACGCACGCACTGCACCGGCCCGCCGTGCACTGAGAACATAAGGAGAGGAGGCGCAGTGACAGCCCAGCCCGAACACGCCCTCCCTCGCAAGCGTGTGGAGACGCGTCTATGGCGCAACGGAACTTGCCTTAGATGGAGCGAGCGGTGGCCGAGACCTCGCGAGCGGCGGCCCTTGCCGCGAGGGCGGAGGCGGAGGCAGAGGCAGCAGAGGCGGCAGCGGCGCGCGAGGATGCGTTTTCGGCCGAGCAGGACGAGGCTTGCGCGCCCACCCCGCATCCCCACCAGAGCCCCCTAGGCAGACGACTTTCTCATCCCCACCCTGCACGGTGCCTCCAAGGCCCTCGCGGCGATAGGCAAGCTCGAGGAGCAGGCGCCGAAGTCTAGAGATCTGGCCGAGATCTGGTGCAGGGTCGGCCGCTCGCGCTCGCCCGCGCCCCCCAGCCTTGCGCTGTACCCGACGCGAGTTTCATAGCCGAGGGCGGGGCAAAATGGTGCGTACTAGGTGCGCGCGCTGCAGGAGGCCTCCGGCGGCGGCGCTCTTCTCTCTGACGACGACGCGGCGGGCGGGACGGGGCCGGCGGGGCCGGGCGGGGAGCGTGAGGAGGACCGGGCGGCCGCCGTCGCGGAGGCGGTGGCGGAGGCGGTGGCAGAGGCGGTGGAGACAGCGCGGGCAGAGGCGGCGGCCGAGGCGTCGAAAGCGGCGGCGGCGGCCGAGGCGCGGGCGGCGGCGGCGGTGCAGGCGGCGGTGCGGGCGGCGCGCGCGGAGGCGGCGGCTGAGGCGAAGGCGGCTGAGTCGCGCGCGTCGGCGGCAGCGGCGGCGGCGCTGAGCAAGGCCTCCAAGGATGCAGCCGCGGCGGGCAGGGCGGAGGCGGAGGCGGAGGCGCGGAAGCAGGCGGCGGTGGCCGCGGCGAGGGCGGCGGAGGAGCGCGCCGCTGTCATCGAGAGCGCCCGAGCAGCGGGCCGCGCCGAGGCGCTTGCCGAGGCGGCCGCAGCAGCCCTGCCACCGCCGGTTGCGACACTACCACCGCCGCCCGCCGCATTCGACGCGGCAGGACTGTCGCTGTTTGACGCCTTCGGCCCGACTTCGGCGGCGGCCGACCCGTTCCCCTCCCCGCCGACCGCTCCCGCTTTCGCCGCTTTCGACGCGCCGTTCGAGGCTGGTGCGCCGTCGGCTCCTACGCCCGACATCGGCGCGGCGGCAGCTTCGCCGGCAGCCCCGGCCCTGTCACAGGCTTTACCGACGGCCCCGCCCGCCCTCGGCAGCGCAACCCCGGACGCCTTCTTGGCAGGGGGGCTGGTCTTCACAGGATCCGATTTTGGAGGGGTCGCAGGGCGGGACGCCTTGCCGGCGCCCACCAGCACCAGTCCCAGTGCCGTCACGGAGGAGGGGCTACCGCCGCCGTCACAGTGGACGGGGCGGCCTGCACTTGCTTCCGCACTCTCCGCGCCACCGCCGCTCCACCAGGAGTGGGTGCCACCGTCGGCGCCACCGCCCACCTCCTTCCGCAAAAAGGCGTCGAGCGGCGTGGCGCACGGCGTGGGTAAGGCGGCAAGCAGCGCGTTCGCCGTCAAGTCCGCCGCCGCCCGGCTCCGCCCCAGCCTGCCTAAGACGTCGTCCAGCTTGCCGGGGCGGCGCTCAAGCAAGGGGGATCGGGAGCATCTCGAGCATCTGGAGTGAGCTTCGCCGTATGCGTCCTCCTGCTCTACCTCGGCTTTTGTGGCGGGTGGCGCGGGCTACCATCGCAACAGAAGAATCTGCAAGCGGCTTGTGGCGGGAGCGTAAGGCGCGCGGCATGTGGGAGTTGCGACTTACTTGCGAGACGCATACACATCCTCACTCACTCACCGACCGCCGTCCCGTACAGTATAGCCACCGTCGACGCATAATGCGTACACACACAGCTAGAGAGTTTGCGCACGGCACTCACGCACTCTTCGGCACTGTGAAAAATGAACTTAAAGCAAAAGAGAATTTTACAACAAAAGACTTACTCCCTCGCACAACACACTGGGGTCTGGGCACGGGACTGGCGCGCACTGCAAAAGCAAAAGAAATCAGAATGAATCGTCCCCAGCTTACATGATGACACAACGCTTGAAAAACCATTCTGACGAGCCTCCGAGCATACTTGTGTGGACGTTTCGGGCTCCTATCCCCCGCCCCGGATCCCTGCACCGTGTGTGGGCGGCGATCGCACACGCGGCACGCGGCTGGGGGGCGCACGGCGCGAGGTGCCAGGTGGCGCTTACCACTGAAAAGGAGGTTTTGGAGCCCCTAAAAGCGTCATAATAGCCGCACGTATGCACTCGCCGTGCCTTGCCATCTCCGAACCGCGCTCCCTCCTTCAGTTTTGGGGCGAATCGGGTGCCAGCAGTCCAGAGACTATTTAGGCTGACAGCGCTGCGGGCCGCGGAGGTGCCGGAAGCGAGCCGGCCACAGCCGCACAAGCCCCGTGGCTCGTCAGCGCTTACGCTCCGAGCAACCGCTGTAGCTTCACCCTACGTATCAGACGCCTCTCTCGCTCTCTCGCTGTCCTCGGGCGGCCGCCGAGGTACTGCCGTGGGACACCCTGAGGCCAGATATACCTCACTGCCCCGGCGCCCACACCTCGATCTTCTTGGGCAGTTGCTGGTTCGACAGGACCTCTCCGCGACCTAGGCGGCCGTCGTCGCCCCTGCCCCAGGTAAAGACAGCGCCGTCAGCGGTGATGGCGAGGCTATGGTGGGTTCCCGCCGACACAGCGACGACGCGCTGGCCAGCCGAGGCCTCGATCTTCCTGGGCAGCAGCTGGTCTTGGCAGACGCCGTGCCCCAACTCGCCCACCAACCCACTGCCCCAGCTCCAGACGGATCTGTCAGTGGTGATGGCGAGGCTGTGGTTGTCTCCAGCCGACACAGCGAGGACGCGCTGGCCAGCAAGGGTCTCGACCTTCTTCGGCAGCAGCTGGTTCTGCTCGTCGCCGTGGCCCAACCGGCCGTAGCCTCCGTAGCCCCAGCTCCAGACGGCACCGTCAGTGGTGATGGCGAGGCTGTGGCAGCCTCCAGACACAGCGACGACGCGCCGACCAGCAAAGGCCTCGACCTTCTTGGGCAGCAGCCGGACCTGCTCGTCGCCGTGGCCCAGCTGGCCTTCGTAGCCACTGCCCCAGCTCCAGAGAGCGCCGCCGGCGGTGAGGGCGAGGCTGTGGTTGTCTCCAGCCGACACAGCGACGACGCGCTGGCCCGCCAAGGCCTCAACCTTCTTGGGCAGCAGCTGGTCCTGCCCGTCGCCGTGGCCCAGCTTGCCATAGGCTCCCCAGCCCCAGCTCCAGATGGCACCGTCGGCGGTGATGGCGAGGCTGTGCTGACCTCCCGCCGAGACAGCAACGATGCGCTCAGCAAAGGCCTCGATCTTCTTCGGCTGCCACTGATGCTCCGGGTCGCCGTGGCCACCAAAGGCTCCATAGCCCCAGCTCCAGACGGCGCCGTCGGCGGCGAGGGCGAGGTTGTGGAAGTCTCCAGCCGACACGGCGACGGCGCGCTCGCCGCCCAGCGGGCAGGGGAGGCGGGTCGGCGTTCTGAGCTGCGTCACACCCTCGCCGTGGCCGAGCACTCCCGGAGCGTAGGACGGGGCCGAGCCGCACGACGAGAGCCGCCCCTCGCCGTCGATGAAGAGGCTGTGCTGCATGCCTCCCGCCGCCCTCGCCGGCGGGTTGGACTCGCGAACCAACGCAGAAACGCACAGCCACCGCACGGCGCAGCTCTCCCCCTCGGGCTGCGCCGGCGGCTCGTAGCCGGCCTCTTGCAGGCGCAATCGGATGCCCTCCTCCGCAAGCGAGGAGTGAAAGAGCAGCGAGACGGCGGCGACGCAAGCGATGTCGGCGGGGTCGCAGCGAGAGAGGGAGCGCACGAGGAGCTCCCTGGGGAGGTCGAGGAGGCGGGCGGGCGGCGGCGTGTCTGGCGAGGGCGCGGTGGAGGAGGCGGCGGCGGCGAGGCGGCGCGAGCGGCGGCGCGGCGAGGTGGACATCGCCGCTCAAAAGAATTTTACAACAAAACTCCCTCGCACAACACTGGGCACAGGACTGGGCACGGGACTGGCTCGCACTGGCACTAACACAGGTACACCACGCAAAAGAATTCGAGCTGTCGCGCGACATCGCGAGAAAAAGAATTTTACGGTGTCTTAAATGAATTTTACCAACAAAACTCCCTCGCACGACACTGGGCACGGGACTGGCGCGCACTGGCACTAACACAGGTACACCACGAGAAAAAGAAATCTAACACCCGAGGAACTCAGGAACAATAGAGTAGCTCCTCATGGCAAACCCCGTCACGGGTATGTTTTAAAATGAACTCGGGAGCACAGGATGCGGTACCGGGGTACACGTAAGACTAATAAGAAATGATGAATCGCCGTTCGTATCTGCTTGCTTTAGAGCGCATCGGCGGTCAGGACACGAACTGAAGCCGAGAACGTCCATGTCACACCGGCAACAGAGCGCGGCGCAAGCCCGAGGGCAAGGAAGTCCGAGGAGAGTGACTGAAGAGCCCAAGGAGACAAAGGGCTCCGAGCACCGATCCGCCCGCGCAGCGGCCGAGCAGAAAGCCTCGCGATGCGCCACGCCCACCTGGGCCTGCATAGTCATCGCGCTGATGGCGAACCAAGCAGTTGCTGACCCGAGGGCGTGCAGCGAATGGGCCCACCAAGGCGAGTGCGAGAGGAATCCGGCGTTTATGACGACGAACTGCGCGGCCTGGTGTGCTGACATCTCACACCAGTCGAGGGCCTGCAGCGAATGGGCCAACCAGGGTGAGTGTGAGAGGAATCCGGCGTTTATGGCAACGCACTGCGCGGCCTGGTGTGCCACCGAAGGCTGTGCTGCATGGGTATCTGTGGGCGAGTGCGCTCGCAACCCTGCTTTCATGAGCAAGATGTGCGCCCGCTCGTGCGCTATGCTCGCGCTGGGAGAGGAGGCGGAGCTCAAGCCGGCATATGATGATGTCCACAGTACATCCGGTGCAGAGGTGGAGCCCGAGCCAGCGCATGATGATGCCAATGCCGAGGCGGAGCGAACGCCGACGGGTGGTGATGTGCCGCTGAAACCGCCCGGGGAGAGTGCTCCCCAGCCGGCGGACCCATCATCCGCGTCGCAGTCAGTGGAGAGCGGAGATGCGCGCTGCAGCACTTGGGCGGCCCATGGCGAGTGCGCTCGCAATCAGGTTTACATGTTGAAGACCTGCGCAGAGGCGTGCGCACAGATGGAGGATCTGGCGTTTGCAGACGAGGAGCCGCACTGCGCAACCTGGCCATCCACAGGCGGGTGTGTGGTCCAGGCAAGCTCGCCTCTCGAGCGCGCAGGAGAGAGCATTCAACCAATGCCTACCCGGAGATCGGCCTTCTTGTGGGAGCGGGCTTCTTCTCCTGGCGGCCGACTCCTCGCGCTTCGCCGGCGCTTCGAGAGGAGTCCGATTTCGACCGCAGTTTGCATACTTGCTGGCCTCGCAATTGCCTTGGTGGCCCGACGCCGGTCCTCCTTCGACGGCGACGACGGGAAGGACAAGCAGAGACGGCAACAGGCGGTTACGGCGCGGCTCCTGTGCTTCCCATCGGCCACGCTGTCGCCGTCGCAGCCGCCCTTTGCGTCGCCGTCGCAGCCGCCACCTTCGTCGCCCTCCCCCCCGCCTCAAAAGGCGCCCACCCGCGCGAGGCGGCGGTGGTCTCCCCTGCGACCGGCGCCCTCGGCCCGTGCGTTTGACGACCCACCGCGCCACCAGCCGGTGCCCGCCGCAATGGCGGGCGATGCGCCGCTGCAGGTGCACGGCGAGGAGGTGACGGTTCACGATGGCGGGTACGCACCGCAGCGTGCGCGCGCGGTGCTGGACACGGGCAACGCGCACATGACCGTGATAGACGAGGCGTTCGCGCGGCGGCACTTCATCTACTCGAGCTCGTTTGCGCCCGTGGGCTACACGACCCTCCGCGGTATCAATGCCGAGACGAGGGCGCCGGTGGTGCTGGCGGTGGTCACGCTGCGCAGCCGAGAGTTTCGCATCCGGGCCGCCGTCTCGCCACTCGCACGGATGGATGTCCTGGTGGGCATGGACATTCTCGAGGCGCTGTTTGCAGAAGGGCTCGCGCTGGGCCAAAAGATAGGCTCGCTCCCTTCGTAGTCAACTCTCGGTTTGATGGTAGATCTAAGTACGGTAGGCGAGTGTGTGGCAGTCGCTGCCATCTGCCAACGCTGGTCTGTGGTCGGCGTCGGGTCGACGGATGTCAGATCGGTCGAGACGGGTGGTGCGTGTTGTGGTGGGGTGGTGCGGACATTGTACTGCCTCGTGTGTGCTCCTTTATTTGCTTGCTTGTTGCGCTACTTTATCGCGCGCCGAGACGCGAGAGAGCAGTCTAAATACGTACGTCGTACTGGGCTCTGGGTTTTTAGGCATTGTGGGGTTGGCACTCCCGTCGACCCTCATGACCTCCTGCGGTCTCTGAGATGGACACCAGTGGGTGTGGGGCCACAGCCAGGATACACTCGAAGGCTGGGTAAGCAGTAGGTCGATACTCGACGCGTCCCACATGGTCTGTGTCGCTGTCGGCACGCTGTCGACAGGACGTCGAGCGACACCGGTGGCAGTGCCACCCAGGAGTGGTCGGTCGGTCTCCCGTCATGAGAGAGCCACCATGTGATCCGTATGATGGTTCCTGACAACCGCCTCAGTCAACTTTTGTCACAGTTCCCGCTCTGAGAGGAGCTGCGGGTCAGTTCGACAGCTGGAGCTGTGTCGCCGGCGTGCGGCGGCCTGCCTCCGGAGGTGCCTCTGAGGTGGACATTTCTTGGTCACCGTGAGATAACGCGTTCGAATTTTTACTCCGGAACTTCAACTCTGCACGCGCACCGGCCAGGGCTACAATAGTGCCAGTGAGGCGGAGGCGCGAGTCGGAAGGCCGCGACCGTCAAGTGTTCCCTCCATTTACCTACAATCGCTGTGAACCCAGCCACGTACCTGGTACCTCTGTACTCGACCTTCCTAAAGCCTGCGTGTGCGCACCTGACCTGTACCCTGTACACCTGTGTGACTGTACTTGAGGACCTGCACCGGATGTCGACAGCTACATACTGTACACCAAACCGAAACAGCGTCTGTCTATCCCCCCACGCCGCCCGCTCAGCCGCCCACCAGGCACGACTCGGCGGCGGCGGAGGCGCGTCCCGCCGCGGCGCCGCTCCCACGCCGCTCGACCGCGCCAAGGCACCACGCCTCGAGGCGGAGGCAGCGGAAGTCGCCGGCGCCGCCAGCAGAGGAGAGCGGCTCGCTGGCGAAGGTCTCCGACGCGAGCGAAGTGCCTAGCGACCACTCGTCCATTCACAAAGGGAGCATTCACAACGGGAGGAGGAAGGGGCATCGGAGACGCGCGCGAGGCTCCCTCGGCCATATACGCCAACCCCCAAGCTTCGGCCACATCTCGGCCGCATCTCGGGCCCCTCTCGGTCAGATCTCGGCCAGATCTCGCGAGCGCGCCGTGCTCAAGCGACGCGTCGAGCGATAGGCCGCAGGATGGGCCGCCAAAGGCGAGACCGCTCGGGCTTGCGTGCGCGATGAGGCGGTTCGCCCGTGCCCAAGGGAAGACGCGCAACCGGCAACCCTCGCCCTTGCCGCCACCCTCGCCGCCACCCTCGCCCTCGCCGCCACCCTCGCCGCCACCCTCGCCCTCGCCGCCCCCCTCCCCGCCGGCCGCCCAAGCAAAGAGGAACGCCTCGCCGTTGCCAAAGTAGCTGGCGGCGCCGCTCCGCCACTCGCCGGCCACAAAGGCGCCAAACGTCGCTCCGCCGGCGTCGCGCAGCAGCAGCAGGTGGTCCTGCAAGACAGAACAGCCGGCGTCAGGAAGAGGGAAGCTGGGAGTCGGCGCGCAGCAGTAGCAGGTGTACCTCGCTCCCCTCGAGCCGGCGAAGCAGCGTCTAAGGGACGAGGAGGTGGGTGGGTGGGTGGGGGGGGGGGGGGGTTAGGGGGGGGTGAGGGGGGAGGGGTGAGGGGGGGAGGAGAGGAGGTGAGGGAGGGAGGAGGTGAGGGAGGGAGGAGGTGAGGGAGGGAGGAGGTGAGGGAGGAGGAGATGACGGAGGGGGGAGGCGAGGGAGGAGGCAGACACGGCGAGTGCGAGTGCGAGTGCACGGGGAGAGCTGCAAACTGCGGCAGGGCGAGGAGGGCGAGGAGGGGCCAGAGGGGCAAGAGCAGGGGGGCGCAGGATGCTAGCTACCACCCCCGTGGCGGGCCGCCTGCAGCGAACAACCGTCCACCTCGGTGCTAAAGGCGAGCCGCCACGCGCGCAGAGCGACTCCGCCGTGCAGTCTGCAGAGATGCCAAGCTTGCTGGCGTCGCACCGCGCCGCACCGCTCCCCTCGCCCGCACCATCCGCCGCCCCCTCCGCCGCCCCCACCGCAGCCCCCTCCTCCGCCTCCTGCCGCTGCCCCCTCCGCCGCCTCCTCCGCAGCCGCTGCCGCCGCCGCGGCCGCCCTCTCCGCCTCCCTCGCCTCCGCCGAGCGAGAGAAGCCCCGCGCCTCCTCCGCCGCCGCCGCCAGCCGCGCCGCCGCCTCACGGCCGGCTGCCTCAAGCCTACGTCGGGAACACGCAAACGTCGGGGCGGGAGGAAGTCGGGGCGGGAGGACTGCGAACCGAGCCCTTCCATTCGGAGCATCGCGCGAATGCACGGGCTACGAATCCCGTGAGTGCACCGGAATGCAGCCGAGTGCAGCTGAACGTGCGTGTCCTCTCGAGAGTCCGTCGCGCCTCCCTGCCCCCGACGGTCGGTGTGTCCATGGAGGTAGGTGTCTCTCGGAAGTGTCTCGGAAGTGTCTCGGAAGTGTCTCGGAAGTGTCTCGGAATCCTTTGGAGATCTCCGCATCTAGGTCTCCAAACCGCGCCGCCTCGGCCGCGACCGCCGCCTCCGCTATCGCATAGGCCGCCTCCGCCTCCGCCGCCTCAGCTGCTGCCGCCTCTGCCGCTTTTGCCTCGGCTTCTGCCGCCTCTGCCGCTTTCGCCTCTGCCGCCGCCGCCTGCGCCTTGGCCTGCGCCTCCGCCGCCGCCGCCGCGGCTGCCGCCTCCACCTCCTCCGCCGCCACCTCGGCCGCCGCCGCCGCCGCCACGCTCGCCTGCCGCTGCCGCCGCCACTCCTCTGCCGCGGCGGCGGCCTCCGCCTTTGCCGCCGTCGCGGCCTCCGCCTTGGCCGCCGCCTCTGCCTCTGCCTGCGCCGCCGCCTCTGCCTGCGCCGCCGCCGCGGCTCGCAAGTGGAAGCTCGGCGCGCGCGCCGCCTCATCGTGCGCTTCCGACGTCGACGGTGCGGGCCCCGCGCCCGACGGCTGCGGCCGTGGCCGTGGCTCGCTTCCCGAGAGGAGGCGGCTCCGCCACATTTCGAGCGAGGAGGCGCTGCCGGGCTTGAGCTCGACCTCTGAGCCGGACGAGGCCTGGATGACGCACTTGAGCCGCGAGAGCTGCACGAACACCGCCGCGCCCTCGAGAGGGACGGAGAGAAGCAGCCGGCCGCCCTTTGCACGAACGGAGAGGAAAGAGGCGTGCACACTCACGACGCGGCGATGATAGCGCTTCTCGCCGGCAAACCGGACGAGCAGTCTCTCGCCACTACTTTTGCCGGACACTGCGGCGGCTCGCCTTGGCAACACCTTGCGGGTTGGCAACACCTTGGACAACATCGAGCAAAATGCGAACGCGCGGCCTTCGCGGCCTTCCTTACCTGCGCATGTAGTGGATCCCCCGGTGAAAAGAAGAAAGAAGTTTGTCCTCGTTGTGAGTGCGGCGGGGCAGGGCGCACATCTCCTTGTAAGACTTCCGGCCGGCTCGGCGAATGCGTGGACGTGCCGTGGTGCACAGGAGCGACACTGTGAGGGTGTCATTTCTTGTTGGGTTTCAGATAATAAAAATCTCGAGAAGAAGAAGAAGAAAAATCGCTCTCCTGGGCGGCAAATGACTGCACTCCAAGTGCCCGAGTGCTCTCAGATACAGCACGGTTCGATTAAAATGCGGCGGGCGCCTGAATAAGACTCGGGCGACGCGGACACTTCGTGGGAGCCAAGGCCTCGCGGCCGACGACGGCCATGCGCGAGCCGTCGACGGCGGAGGCGGGGGCCGCGCAGGTGGAGCTCAGCTGCGCATCGTCTGCAGGCTCAGCAGCGCCTCCACCAGCCGCGAGCTCGGGGGCGATGCCTGCCGCCGTAGACTTGCGCACCGCCTCGAGGAGTCCGTATCGTGATCTCAAGACGGCCCTGCTCGTCGGCATCCCTGCGATGGTCATCGTGGCTGTCGCGACGTGGGCCATCACTGCCGAGACCGTGGGCGGGGTCAGGGTGGTGGAAGTGAGCCCCTGGGCCGACAGGCCCATCACGGGCGACCCCATCCCAGTGCCGCCCTCGTCCACGCCCGCCGCCGAGCTGGCGCTCGAGCCGTGCCCCTCGTGGGCTCGGACGCAGTTCGCCAATGGTGCCCTCATCGACGACGCGCTGACCGCTGCTGGCCCGGCGCTGCCGCTGTGGTCCGAGTTCCCGCTGCCCGAATTCAATGTCAGTACGCTGACCGACGTGAGGGGCAGCGGCTCGATCCTGCCCGTGCAGGCCGATGGGGTCAACTTCCTTACGCCGCCTCGCGTGGTGATCACCACCGATCTCGACAATGAGTTTGACGACTGGCCCGCCGTCATCTGGGCCTTGCTCGGCAGCGTGGGCGACGCGCCGTCGCTGTCCGTTGAGGCCATCTACATTGAGCCCTTTTCGTTCCGGTGGCAAACCGTGCTCAAGGTGATCGCGTACAAGATTGAGCAGAAGCCCGAGGAGGAGGTGAGCGGCCTCGAGGCGGCCTTCCTCGCCGTCTACCAGACGACGCTCGATAACATGCGCCTGAATGGCTTCACGCCTCAGACGTGGGTTGAGACGGACAACCATGCGATCTGGTGCCCGGAGCGCAGCATCGCCGAGAGCCTCGCCTCCACGCAGCGCCTCGTCGGTCTGCTCGCGCAGGCGGGCGGCGATGACGCCGAGGAGATCGCCGCACTCGCCGACACGCCAATCCTCGCCGGATCGACCGCCTACCTCACCGGGAGTGACCCGAGTGTGCCGCTTGAGAGCGACGCGGTCAGCGACCTGATCGCCCGTGGTCGCGCGGTGACCGACCCTGCAAACGACCCGCTGTACGTGGTGTGCATCGGCGCACCGACCAACATCGCAGCGGCGCTGCTGCAGGCGCCGGACCTCGTTCAAAAAATCATCGTCGTGTGGGACGGCGCCTGGCCGTCGGACGATGAAACCCACGCTGCGACGGGGTCGTTCAACGCGGGCTCCGACCCCCTTGCCCTGCGCGTGCTGTTCGGGTCGGGAGTGCCGCTCATTTACGCGCCGGGCTTCCCGTCCCTCATGGACCTCCAGCTGTCTCGCCCCGAGGTTGAAGCGTGGCTCTCCGGGCGTGGCCCCGTCTCTGACGCAATCTACACCCGCTTCCTGGCCAACCCGGATCTGCAACCGTACGGCATCGGCGAGTACAACGAAGCTGGCACCTCCCGCATTCAGTGGGACATCGGCTGCATGGTGCCCTTCATCGCGCCGGGGCTGTTGACAACCGTGCGTCAGCCGGCGGTGGACATCGTGCAGGTTGCAGCGAGCTGCAACGGTCTATTCAACTCGTGCGAGGGCGTGCGCCCCTCGTATGACTCCTCTGGATCGGGTGGCGGTGGAGTCGCGATCGCGACGAGCTGCGCGACGCCCAACCTCGATGGCGCGTCGTGCCGCGACGGCTACTTCTACCCGGCGGATCCGCCGCGGCCGGATCTGATCGAGATCCAAGTCTACTGGGGCATCGCGTCGCCCACAAGCATCATGCGCGATCTGCTCGTGAAGCTCCAGGCCGCGGGGCTGTGAGGTGAGTACCATCGAAGGGTGTGTGGGACAGGCGAGCGTTCTCTCGAGCGAGAGGTCGGACGGGGGTTCGTGTGGAAGGACGCGACATGCCCACGGCCGGTGAGCGGTGTCCCCGTTGGTATGACAACAGGGGCCTGTACTGTGTGCAGTAACCACTGCGGAGTAAATGTGCTGCATCGGCTGTCGCAATGCCAACTGTGCAAAAAGTAGTGCGCTTCGCTTCAGATACAGCTGTACACGCGCGCGCGGCAACACTTGGCAGTTGGAAAAGTAATTATTCTTCGAGAGCAACCGCACTTGCAACCGCCTCTCTCACAGCCTCACAGCACACTGGCACGACAAGGGCGCACTGGCGCGGACTGGTACACACCGGCACACCACCGGAGCCGCCTAAGCGACTCCGTTAAGAACAGCATCAAAGTAAGAAAACCAGGGGGCCGTCCAAGGGTGGGCGACGGCTAGCACCACACTCCTCTCCTTAAAATCCCTGTGTGGTAGCGCTAGCGGCGTGCGCCGTCCTACCATCCATATCGCACGAGTCGGGCGGATTGGCGCATGGCGCATGGCGGCGTTGGCGGCGAGACGTGACATGCTGTATTGGCTATTGCGGCTGTTTCTCAGACAAGTCGCTCAGCACCCCCCCATCACGTGAAGTTCGCTTCGAGCCACCCACCCATCCTTGATCCTACCACCCTGACATGCTGTATTGGCTACTAGCTGAGGGGCTCGCTAAACGCTCGCCGAGCTCCATGCTGTGCAACACCACCTCCTCACTAATCGTCAGGGGCGCGTGAGAGCGCAGTGCACTGCGGTGAGGCTGCGCAGCGGGGGCTCGCCCCCTGCACCGCGCTCAGCGGCACAGGGGAGGGCGGTCGGTGGCGGCGGCGGCGAGGCGCGAGGCGGTGGCGGCGGTGGTGCGGGCGGCGGGATGACAGGGGAGGCGGCGGGATTGACAGGGGAGGCGGCGGCCACGAGCGGAGCGGCGCAAGAAGGGGGGGGGGCGGCGGCGAGGCGCCGGTGAGCGAGGCGCCCGCGCCATCAGAGGGACGCGCCGCTGCGAGATGGAGGGCGGCGGTGACGGAGGCGAGGCGCGAGGCGGCGGCGGCGGCGGCGGCGGCGGCGGCGGCGAACGGCGGCACCGAGTCTCGGTGAGCGGCGGCGGGAGGAGGAGCAGCGGCGGCGCTCGCTCGCTGTTGACGGGAGCGCTTTTGAGCCTGGGAGCCCATGCCACTGCGACCGGCGTGCCCGGGAACGGAGATCGCGCGCGCGCCGCCACTCACGACGCGCGCGCGATCTTCGCGGAGTCGGGTCCCCAGAGGGAAGCGGTCTTCTCGGCCGACGTCCAGCGGCGCGCAAGGAAGCAGGCGCAGCGGAGGCGGCCTAGCACCGGCTCGGCGCCGGGCGGTTGCGCTGCCCGCGAGCCGCGTCCTGAGCCTCGGCAGCGCGCTGTGCGGCGCGGCGCTCGCGCTGCTGCGGTGCCGAGAGCGGCATGATGGATCGCCAGCTGAAGCTCGAGACTCCTCGGGTCCGCGAGTTCTGGGGGTCACGCGGATAAACGGCGGACAACGCGGGGCCCTTATATCTTTAGATTGCGGCTGTTTCTCAGACAAGTCGCTCAGCACCCCCCCATCACGTGAAGTTCGCTTCGAGCCACCCACCCATCCTTGATCCTACCACCCCAACCGGCCTGGCCGTCGCACTAGACACGCCGATCGCGCGATCGGACCGGACCGCGAGGGGGAGCTGAGCCTCACTCGCTCACGCGCCGCGCTCGGTCGAGGATGCCTTCGTGCCCTCCATCATGAGGGCGGGGCTCGGCGACGACAGCAGCTTCCCTTCGAAGCGCGAGAAGCGGAACTCGGTGGCGTGCGCGCTGGCAACCTCGTACAGGTCGGCGGAGCCCTCGATCGCCCCCTCGGCTTGCGCGGAGGTTGTCAGGTGGCCAGAGGGAGGGTAGTCATCCACCTTGCCGTTGCGCGGAAGCGGGGACGAGAAGGACTGGCCGATGACGCCGTGCGGCAGCGCGCGCGCCGCGGCGTCGCCCTCCGACGACAGGACGACGTCCAGCCGGTGCGCCGGGCCGCGCACGAGGCCAAACACAAAGTTGCCCTGCACGCTGACGGACCAGTTGCCAAGCACAAAGGCGGCGCTCGCGTGGTCGACCGAGATGACGAGCTCCTCGCATCTCCTCCATCCGCCGCTGCCGAGTTTAAAGGCATGCCCGCCGCATGTGCCATTGACGAGGCGCCAGCCCCAGTTCTGCTGGTTGAGCTCCGACGCCCAAAAGGACACGTTTGCCCACTTCCGCTTTGCGCCACCCACCAGCGCCACAATGTGCGCCTCGGTGATGAATGAGCCGTCCACGGTCAGCCTGCCACCGTTCGGCGAGAAGGTGCAGTCCTCCGTCTTGATGTTGACAGCGAGGCCCGGGACGGAGAGGAAGTTGAAGAAGCGGCCGTCCTTGCCCCGGAAATCAGCCTTGCCGCCGTGCGCAAAGGACAGGTGGGGGTCCTGCTGCGCCGCAGCGGAGGAATCGCTGAAGAAGCCACGCTCGCCATGGGAATGTCCCGGAGGGTGCGGCGGGGGCGGGGGGCTTGGCGGGGTCGGCGGCGGCCACGGGTCCTCGTTCGGGAAGTTCATGTGAGCGTGAAGGGGTTCGACGGCGGCGGCACCGCGCGCCGCCAAAAGAAGCAGCGCTGTGCGCGCCGTGGCATCGGCCGGCACGGCTAGCGCGCCCGACCGCACCCGCGATGGAGCCATATCGAGATAGCCCCTCGTTGGGACCGACGCACCCCTGTGGTTCGCGCCGTGGAGCAATTGGAACCCAATGTCTAACTCGAGGACGCACGAGAGATCCTTTTACGAATTACGGGATGACATGCGAAATCAGAGCCGACACACGGCTCGTGTGCACGCGCAGGAGCACGCATGTTTATCGCTGTTGGTGGCTCTTCTTCACTGAGCCGACGATGCTATGGCGTATGGGTAGCCCCAGGCCCCAGGGTGGCGCCCACCCCCATACCCTCAGGCACTTGCCTGCGCCCTGGCCGCGCATGCCGCGCGCACGCGCGCGCGCACACGCCCGCGCACGCCCGCGCACGCCCGCGCGCACGCCCGCGCGCACGCCGCACTACGCGGCACTGCCCAGGTTCCCTCACGCTCAGATTCCCTCACGCTCAGATTCCG